AGCAGGATTGATGCCTTGATTTCTACAATAGACTCAGTCATTTGTAGAGACTGAAGAGAATATATGGTGTCATCCGTTATACTTTTCTTTAATTTCTAGCGTAAATAATAAGCTTTTGCACAAATGCAATGTGTTTGAAATCTAACATGATCTTCCTTCCGACAGCCTTTTAAGTATTGTTGATGTCAGCTTCAGTGCAGTAACGTCCCAGTAAGTCTGACTGAGTTTTAGTGAAGAATATAGTTTTTCTGTCGCTACAAAACAAAAGCTAGTTTTTCTGTGTAACACATACCACTTTTCAGGACGCTGCGAACACAACACATTCATAATTAGAATAACAGAGGACTGTTTAAAAAGGAGAGAGAATAATGTTTAAAATTACCAAAATGCAATAATATACCATTTTGTATGCTATTTAATGAGTAAATAGAATAAGAGAATACGCAGTGTGTTTCATCAACCTACAGAATAACCAAGTTAATGTCTGCAGAAATGACTCATTGCAGGAAAGGGAGTGAGAGAAAAGAGGGAAGCCCCCATGGCGGGTTATGACAGTTTGGCTGGTTGAAGGCAAAATAGGGCTGTCTGCCTACAAGGCTTTCTATTAATAGCTCTCTCTTCCTCCAGCTTCTCCCTCAAACCCTTATTTTTCCTGTGCTCTGTATCATTTAGTTTAAGAATGATAGCAGTGGGACAAGGTGGATTTCATATGGATTTTCATATGGATTTGATAAGTCACGGCGGCTGCATGTTGCTGCCACAGTACATAGAGAGACCATGGCCAGCTGCCATCACAAAAGTTTGCTCAAACACGCAAGCTACCCAAGTCATCTTAGCGACTTTCCTGTGGGGCATCTTGCCATACTGAATGCCTCTCTTTGGTAACGAATGCCCAAATTTGTGATAATTGTAAGACTTCATTTATACTGCTCTAATTTAAGATAATCAGTATGGGGGGATCATTATGAAGCAAGCTGATCATAGTAGCTGCAGAACAGCAGAAGAGCTGTTGTGCATGTGAGAGAGCTCATACAAACAAGGGCCTATGGGAGGAAGGGTAGTAGATGTAGTACAGTACAATAGTAGATGTAACGAGGATTTCATCCTGTACAAATACCTTGCAGAGTTGTTTATACCTTTTCATGATTAGGACACAAATTTCCTCTTAATAAACAGTCTGTGAGAACTCTCACAGACTCTCACATTTTAGAAGAAAATAAGGATGTAAATATTCAAAATTAGTAATTTTTAAGCCTGTTTTATATCAAGGATTCAAGCTATTTAAGAAAAATAATATCAGAGCTGTACAATATTTTAAAGCTCTCAAGAATAATTAGTAGATATTACCTCTCAGAAGATTCTTGTTAGATGACTGAACACCTCTGCTTTTACCCAGAAAAATCTACATGACTAATTATACCATGAATATTTCCTATGTACTTTGTTTTCCAGGAAATTTACTTGGCACCAGCATCCACATTCTATGTCTAGCTACAGCACATGCTTTGCCTGTAGAAGTATTTTATGTATGCTAACAAGCTTTAAAACAAACTAATGAGACATATGTATGAAAAATAAGATACATGAGCTTCTTTTGAGTGTGTTTAAATATACTTATAACCTTTCTAATTAGAGATTGTTTCACTATTTGGAATCTAATTTTAGACAACAGATTATAGCAACCTTTTACAAAAAGATCTTTCCAATCATATCTTTATTATAATTTTCAGCAAAGAAATGTTCCTCAGTTCTTCATATACATCATATTTCAGCACCAATAAGTTTATCTGTGGGTGTTTTTTCTATAACTTCTTGAAAGAGTATCATTGAAAATTACAAGTCTTGTATCTCCCTATCAAAATGCATAAGGCATAGAATAGCTTCTTTTGCTTTCTTGGATGTTGCTGTATGACGTAGGAAATATTTTTGTAAAAGGTTTCCAACCGATTGCATTTTTACCGCTTTTTCTATTCTCTATCTCCTGGGTTTTCAACTTCTTCAGCATTTTTGCAAAACTGTTAACAACAACAAAATGTAGCTTACAAAAGGTCCAGCACACAGAAGGCTGCAGATTTAACCTTCTGCCATCCTGTTCCCTGAACATCATAAAGTAGCTATTTGCTCAGCGTAGCCTTAGGGTGTGCCTAGCCATTCATATTGTAGGATGCAACACTTAGGTAACATTTCTCATTCACAGATTTCAGACCCAGGAATGTTCATCGTTGCTTAGGAATGTAGATAGTGCTTTACAAATAAATACAATAAAATGTCTGTGTACTGAGGAGCTTACCAGCTCCCGAACATGTTCTGAAGACCATAACTGAGAAACATACCAATAACTTCAGTTGGAGTTTTGTGTGACGAAGACCGTAGAATTTGACTGAATATTAAGAATTTATGGATATTTATGAAAAAACTTGAAGATTAACCTCTTAATTCACTTTCATTGCTTTTCCACTATTCTCTCTTCATATTGTCTGTTACTGTTGAAACAAACATTTACATACATTTTGAGTGTAAACATGCTGTGGATTTTGCATACTTTCTGCACATTTGCAGAGAAATTTGATGAAGAAAGTGTGGAAGAAGGTATAGAAATAGCACTGAATAGCTAGAGATGTGACTGGAAAGTAGCTGAACAGGTCATTAGCATTGAGATAGTATATTTAGCAGAGCTATTTAATCTTTCTCCTGCTGAGTACTCACTAAGTGCAGGATGTAGAAAGCAGTAACGAATACTGATACATGTTCCCTGCTAACAGAAATTATCTACGAGAACATTACACAAGAGATGTTTCCATCGCAGAGAATGTCAGAAAGGTTTGTATCATCATTACGCAAAAGACATGAGTCTGTTTCCCTACTGGCTCTGGTACCGTTACTCAGTGGGCCTAAGGAGCTTCGTCCCCTTCCTGGTAGAAGTGATAGTGTGGAAGTCACACGGGCAGCAGGCACGTTGGCTGGTATGAACAAAAATTCAAGCAACAGCAACATACAGCATTGTCTTTCACATGTGATCAAAACAAATGAGCGGCAGCC